GTAGCCATTTCCTACACGCCACACTGTGCTTAGGTCAGGGCCATCTAGATTTTTGTGACATTCAAAATGTTGGAATGGGCTCCCAGTCCTCTGGTTGAATTATCCATTATATCAAGTAGATAAAATCTCCAACAGGGAATGTTGTCTTTGCAATGGTAGGTCTGTGGTACAATGTGCTAAGCTCTGACCACCAAAGTCTCTGAGATATATTAGGCAGCATTAGGTCATTTACTGATCATCTGTCAAAGACCAAAGTATCCGTTTTAGGTGGCTCAGCCCTTTTAATTTGCATTATGCAGCTCATGGAATGAAGTTAGTTTTGTAACAACTTAAAGGAGAACTATGAGGTGGGTGCTTTTCACTCACCTCATAGTTCTAGCCGACCTGTGACAATGAGACTGTCACAGGTCGGCTCAGTAGATTTTCGACATCGATGTCGGGATCCGCTCCGGCTGCGGCGTCTCAGTATACCGCGAGCTGTAGCTTGCGGTATACTGAGCTTAGGGTGACGGGAGGACGCTAGTTTGTGTCCTCCCGTTACCCTAATGAGAACTATGGGGAAAAGCCCTGACCCCATAGTTCTTTAATTTTCATATGCCAGGTCCACTTTAAGTATAACATTGGCTAAGCAACGATGAATCATCTACTGGAGTCGTTGTGGTTACCCTGTGATGAATGTGGACATCTCATTTTCAAGCTGCAAGTAGTTTTCAGTAAGGACCACATGATTACGTGCATTCATGGCATCCAAATGACAGCAGCATAAGAATTGTTTATGGTGAGGTCAGCATTTGGGACTATTTACATTTACAGTTGACATTCAGAATATTAGGGTGTTGCTTGGGTGTCAGTCTTCTGCAGCCGTTGTACAGTCACTGATGGCAGACATAACAACAACACTGTCAAATGTCATGAGAGGCAAATTGGGGCTGCAATTGACTTTGCAAGTGAAAATTCGAGTTTGTTTTCTGCTTATTAAAGTTGACAGATAAATATGTAGAATTTGACTTTGTTGAAGGCCAAGGTATTCTCTGGCTATGGCCAAGCACTTAAATAGTTTTATTGCGGCTTTACAACCACACTTGTAGGCAATACTCTGAGTTTCCCAAATTGTGAGACGGCTCTTCACTGCAGGCAGTGCACATCAAGGGACAGGAGTTATGTCTTGGATAACCTTCTGGCATTATACACTTGCTCTTGAATGCCCGGTTTGAGACAGGCTATTTGTTTTTTATTGTAGCCTTTCCAATGTTCTTGCCAAGATATGAGGATATTTCTTATAATCCTAATATCTGCATGATCTAAAATCTTTCATCCAAGCTTGTATGAGTTATGGGTAATCAATTTAGAATGTGTGGCAGAGGGTTTACCTGCTTTCTATGTCATCTGAGCCTCACCCCACTTGATGTTCCCTTAATACAAAGGAATAACAACGCATGTGAAAGACACACCTGCCACAGAGCTGACTGTACAGTATGAGCAAAAGTTCAAGTGTAAGAATTTGGCTGTGAGCTCTTAACACTCTCCTTCCCTGTGTCCCTCTCCTCTCCCAGCATAGACCTTCTTTTATTTTTTTAATTGAATGTTTGTCACCTTACACTTGTACAAATGGATCATATACCACGTGGAGATGTTCTAATTAGGACATAGGTATTGTAGGGACGCAGGCTGAACTGGTATTGGCAGAAGTAAACCATGCACAAGACCAGGACACCCAAGGACAGTCCAGGCAGATTTATCCTGCACTTTTATTCAGCAAGACAGTAAACCCACACAGTTCAGTGCAGGAGGGCTTTGTACAACTCTATAGCATACATGAACAAAACTTCAGCTCATCCAATGGAAGAAAATCCTATGTTCTGCCACTCCATTTAATGGCGAGAATGCTGCACGAACTGCATTCAGCCAGCATATGTCAGGTCGATGATTTATAAATCATTCCCTTAACGTGGAAAAGGTTGCCAACCTCTGGTCTAGAGATAAAGGTCCTGGATGGACAGATAGCTGTACAGTTACTCTACAGGTGACAACTTCCTACTTTCTGCATAAATCTCTGTTTTACTAAGTTTTTATCAGCACCCAATAATATTATTCTACCTGGGGAGAAGTTGGAACTGCCACTCCTATGCAGATGGCCCCATTACAAGTTTACTAGATCTGTACACTTTTTCAGTTCTATTTAATGAATCAGTCCACAATCAGTACAGGACAATTAACAACCAATCAGAATCCATCTTTTACTGGACTGATTTTAGTATATGGGAACCCTGATTGCTGTGGATTACTGACCTTTTTTTAATGTCCTGTTCAAAGACTTGGACCATATGTTATTCTAAATATAACATGATCTATTTCTTACAATCTGTCCATCTCTTTTGGGGGTTGATTGGGCACTAGGCTCTGGAAGTGTACACATATAATACCTGGCCAGTTTTATTTAAAGAGACACTGTCATTGTGCCTGTTTAGGGCAAAGTGACTGTGTCTGGGCATAGCCATGCAGGAATGTATAATATAGTCCAAATATACCTGTCAATGAATTCTGAAGAAGCCTCTTAATCTAATGTTAAACTAATGTCATCAACACAAGCCCAAAGCCTGTTGACACAGGCCCTTTAAAGTGGCACTGAACTCAGGAGTTAGCTCTTAAAAATGCATTTGCGTACCCTGTTAACAAAAATGTAGCTTATTTGGGGTCTCCAAGACCCTAAAGTCACCTAGGGACCCCCAGAGAGGCTGATGAGGCAGAGATCGGCTTCATCAGCTTCTCTAAACGTGATATAGTCCATCACGGGAGTGAGCTTAGGGCGGTGGCTACTTTACAACACACAGGGACCATGAGCAACAAAAGTAGCCACCCTCCATAAGGAAGGACCGTGTCAGCACCAATTCAGAGATGATTTAAGGATCTGCAGCAATACACAAATAAGGTACTTGAATGCATTTGTAAGATTTTTTTTTTCCTTACTATGAAACAGGTTTCTCTTTTTATAGTGTTTTAAGTGTTCTGCACACTAACACACAATTCCTTTATTATTATTCCAATTCCAGCCATGTGCTTTGTGAGTGCTGTAGTCCCTGTTGGCAGTTTCTCTTGTTAGAGATACAGTTTCAGGTGTCATTGGGGAGCGGCAGGTACACATACACTGACATACATAGCGACATTCCTGAGACTTCAGCAATTACGTGTCAGAATGTCTCTGACTGGAAGAGCGGGTGGAGTTTGGCCTGTATAATTACTGCGGCTGATACTGTAACTGAATAGGAGATTCACCAGGTAAGAAATCTGTATAGATTGTGACTGTTACATTTACTGATGTTTGGACGAATATCTTTGCAATAGGAACCCTGAGTGTGTATATAGTCTACTATAATGTTTCATTGTACTGTCTGTGTGTTTTTTCAGACACGTGGTGTGATTGACGAATGTTTCTGCAGGATGGTGCTTGTCTAAGTATTCTGTTACAGCAGTCTCTCTGCATTCTGCCATTGGTTAAAGGATAATAGGTAAACCATGTTCCTTCCAGTTGGCACTGATTATGGCATGTAATGACAGTGATATTCATGTAGGATGAGACTGCTTGTTGCCTGGTATTGTAGGAATGTTTTTATAGGCTGGTAATGCTTGTAGTATAGTTTAATAATAAAGTTTCTACTGCTAGATCTTGCCATTGTGCACATGGAATCCATCTGACCTTACCCTTTGTTTTTTGCGGTGTTTTGTTTGCATATAAACGTTTGAGGAGAATGGATCATAGACATAACATCTAAGAGAATTAAAGTGACATATTACAGCTCATATCTTTACATAGTAAACAATGAATTCTTTGCATATATGGATCTACCCACTTTTGAGTCATAGAGCGAAAAATAAAAACAGAAAACATAAGGGGAGTAATAAAATATTTTGTAACCATGTTCATGTTAATTGTGTAATCATAAACCTAGACCATGTTTGGATACATTTTTTCGTGGGATGCCAAATGGGAGGTTCAATTTATGTGTAAATGTGAGTTTATACAAAAGGGTCTTTAGATGTGCCAGTTGGGGTGTCTGGGGGGGAAAGCTAATACAGAAGAAAAGATTTTATGATTCCCAGGCTAAAAAGATGTTCCCATTTACCAAATGTAGGCGTCCGGCTCACAATTCCCATAGGTAGGACATGGAATAGACAGGTAATAGTACTATCAAGAGTTATCTAGATATGCCCCTGACCCCCCACATATAGTACAGGACAGACCCCTGAAATTTAGATATTACTCATCACCATCAGAATAGATAAATAAGATCTGGGCACTGTTGGTTACATTATGGACAGCCAGATGGAGGAGGAAGTTTTCTTCACAATATTGACCTTAGTCAATTTTGTAGTTTAGTTTATTTAATAGTGGAACTACAAAAGGGTGACCATTTATGATACCAGAAGTGAGTGGTTGTGTATTCTGTGTGTATGTGAACTCCTAAAATGTCCTTAAAGCTGAAATTTGGGTAAAATAAAAATTTACCCTTGAAGCGGGGCTCCCCCCCTTCCCCCCTTTTCACTGCAAGGATTAATACTAGGGAAGTTCAGATACTTGTACAGATACTTTTCCAGCTCCAAGGCTAGACTAGAGAAAAGTTCAAAAGTCAGGAGGCAGCTGTCATATTTAAGTAATATACGGAGCTCCTGGGATTTGTGCATCTCTGTTTTTAATGTACGATTTTTTTATTTTTTATAAATATATATTAGGAATGCACTGATACCATTTTTTTCAAGTACTCACAGATACAAGAACTGGTAAGTTCTCATGAAAATGCCAAGTATCGACACTGGTATCTGAACATCGCTAATTAATAAATACTTATTTTTGTCTAGGTGTAACAGAAAAAAACAGTTATACTTACCTTATACCTTGGCAGCGACGCTCTTCTCTGCTTTCCAATGCTAGTCCTACGTTGTACGTAATCACATCAGAGCCCAACAGAGCAACGAAGAGAAGCGACTTTAGAGGGACTGGTCGTGCAGCTAGGAGGAAACTTTCCAGAGTGAGAAATAAGGTAAATTATACGTTTTTTTTCCTGTTCCTCCTAGACAAAAGTTCAACTTTAAATGGTTATGTAATCATTGTATAAGCTATAATAGTCAGTCAGTCAGTCACTGTCACTCACGGCTCCCCACAGGGATTCCCCCCTCTCCGATCCTCCAGTGCTGACTGGAGGCACGGACGGCGGAGGGAGCGTGCACAGCTAGCTCTGCCTCTAGATGGGCAGAGTCAGCTGTCAATCAGTCAGCTAAGTGCATCTCAACAGTATTGTCTGGATCCGTCCCGGCTGCAGCGGTCTCAGCATAACGCGAGCTGTAGCCCGCGATATACTGAGCTTTGGGTTACGGGAGGACGCTAGTATATCTCCTCCCGTGACCCTTAATAGAACTATGGGTAAAAACACTTATCCCATAGTTCTCTTTTAAAGGGATTTATTGAGTAAATAAAACATGTATTGGGTGTATGTTAGGTTTCACTTAATGTTGTAGCTCTCCAGGCTTCCCCTCCTGCACTCCCCTTGCTGGCAGCCATGGCTTGTCTCACCAGTATTTGTTTGCTCAAAGGACTGTATTCCAGCCTAAGAGATATAATAAGACACACAGAGTGTCATTACATTTCAATGGCTGGGTTGTGATTCAAGGCTTTACCTAAAAGCTGTATAGTGTTTTACTAAATTGCAGCCCCCAACTTGGCTGTTGTAAGGATCAGAAGAAGTGGTCAGATATTGATTCAGCCTGAAAAACGCCCATGAAGTGAGCCTGTACTCAGGCATTAACAGTCTTACTGTGAGACATAAAGAGTAATAAAAGGACATAAATAGATTCTATTCTTGAAAAATAAGCTGCTCCAAGTTCCCTTCTGTTTGACTCACATGATGAAATTTGCATTTGATAATGTCCTATCTGCTGGTTCGCTTCATAGCTCGGATTGGCTTTTCCTTCCCTTTACATCAGTGATCACATGACCAAATACCAACGTTTTTAGTCATGTGACCAGCACTGCAGGAAGTCTGGGGACAGGAAACATAGGCATTTTAGCCCGTATGTTACTTTGAAATGTATGCAATACAGCGTGACTGTTAAATTACAACTAATGGCTCCTCTGTAACAGTATAAGTACCAAAGCCATGTACTATGTACAGGTGAAACTCGAATAATTAGAATATCGTGCAAAAGTTAATTTATTTCACTAATGCAACTTAAAAGGTGAAACTAATATATGAGATAGACTCATTACATGCAAAGCAAGATAGTTCAAGCCGTGATTTGTCATAATTGTGATGATTATGGCTTACAGCTCATGAAAACCCCAAATCCACAATCTCAGAAAATTAGAATATTGTGAAAAGGTGCAATATTCTAGGCTCAAAGTGTCCCACTCTAATCAGCTAATTAAGCCATGACACCTGCAATGGGTTCCAGAGCCTTTAAATGGTCTCCCAGTCTGGTTTTATATTAGTTTCACCTTTTAAGTTGCATTAGTGAAATAAATGAACTTTTGCACGATATTCTAATTATTCGGGTTTCACCTGTAAAGCACAAGAGCAGTGCAGCATCATTGCGACACCCATCACAAGAAATTGCTTTTGCTGGACTTCACTGGTAGGCTCAACAGGTATTTATGGGACTTTGCAGGGATACTAAGGGAAAACTGCAGAGATTTTAGCCTGAGGGCTGTTCAGTTATGCCAGATGGCCATATACTATACAATCTCATTGTACACTCTTTGCATGTCCTTTAGATTTACAAAGACTGTATAATATGAGGATGTACCTAAAATCCCTCTCGTTTGTATCAAATCAGGTAGGTCCTTCCACTACATAGTTGATTGTACAATCTACCTTAGATATACCATCAGATTGTATAGTGTTGGCTCAGCACATATGATGTACATACCTTTGCAATGTTACTGCACAACCCTCATCTGCTGCTGGAATCCCCTAAAACCTCTATGCAAATACCAATTTTTGAAAATCAGTGTTTGTATAGGGCTAGACATGGCTACCATGTAATAATGCTTGTGGAAGCCAAAGGGGGGTGTTCATGTCTGCCAAAATCCAGAAGTAGTAGAATCCAGATAAAGAAGACTACTTTGGGCTTCAGAAGTGGATCAGGGAAGTGTGAGAGGTGCAGTGAAAGTAGGAGCAGGCATCTGCGATGCATCATATGATAGATAACCACTGTAGGGGACATTTAATCTGTGTATGATCTACAACTGAAATGTGGTTCAGCAAATAAGTAGAGATGCAAAGGTCACATCAAATCTTACTTGATTATTTCCCGGGCTAGTAAATAATACCTGGTACAATGAAGGTGATAGATTATACTCTATTAATGTTGTATACACTGAGGTGTATACAACTTTAAGAACAACATTAAGATCAGAAGAACAAGCAAGATGAATGTGTATTGATCACTTTTGTTGGACTTCAAATTGTTTGGAACATTATTTGCCACATATTAATTAGGAATATTGCTGTCATATACAAGGTGTAGCCATAGTTCTATAACTGTAGATATCTTTTGAACATTTTTTTTGGATTCATTTATTGGAATATAATTTTTGAAGTTGAACACTGTTCTTTCCAGGTGCAGGCTCGCTGTAAATAGGGTATAGTTAATTGTTAGAATAGCACAGAAGTCGCCTATGAGTCATTAATCTATTAATGTTTCTGGACTTGATTTCTTATTCTTTTTGTCTGTTAAATTGCAGTTCTCATGGATCCCGAGATATCCATCCTGTACTGCAGCCCCTCCCCTCAGGGCATCCCCCAACAAAAAGTGCACGTCCAGCTTTCACCACTTTACCAGCGGCGTCGACTTCCACCCCCAATGGAAGAGCAGATTCTTGTGGATTGGGAAGAACGCCAGCGCAAACAGCCATGGGTTTTTAATGGAGCAAAATTCAGGCTTCATTCCATCCAGCCCGAAGAAAATTCAGCAACTAAAGAACAAGAAAAGAGAGAGCAGAAAAAAGAAACCCAAAAAGTTGAAAGCAGACCAATAGATGGGGATGAAGGGCAGAAATGTGGAGGAAGTGACCCTAATCTCAGCGCAGGGGGGGGGCTTACCCTACACTTGGCACTTACATGTTACAGAGACTTTTTGGGCACCAACTGGTCAGGTGAGGCAGGGGCACTACAAGAACGGGGAGGACGAGAGTATGGGGACACCCAAGCTTATTTGGCACAGCCGCTTGGCGTAGGCGCTGCTCTACAATGTAAAGACGATCGGTTTGTGCTACTGAAGAGGAGCTTCAGGGTAGGAGAAGCACCTGGTCAGCTGGATGTTCCAGGAGGACATCCTGAGCCCAAGGTAAGGCAACTATGGCAATCAAGTTAATTCTGCTTGTTTGAACTGCAGTATAATATCGAGATACACTTGTAATGTGAGTGAATAAGTGGCTCTGTCTTTGTGTGTTGAATATTTACTGCTTTCTTCTACTTGTGTAACTTGTATATTATGACCTAAGCCAGCAGGACCACCATGGGTGACACCCAGCTACCACCAGTTGTTTTTCTGACAGTGAGTTACATATTCTTGCATATAATGAGAGGTTCCAGACTGCCCCCTTCCAGTGCCATCTGCCAGGTCCTCATCGTTGCTGCACCTGCACAGCATGAGAATTTCTGGTGAATGGAATATTGTACTTTGAGCTTGCATTTCACCCTCTCTGCTTCCATATGCCTGGAATGTAACTGCTAGCTAAGATGACAATCTGTGTCTTGCTTCTAGTGGCTGGTTTAAAGTAAACTGATTGTTATTAGTCTCTCCACCACCAGCCCTTGCATGTCTTGGGCTGCTATGGCACATCTGATTGTCTATGATTCTACAGATGGCCATAAGCTGCTCAAACTTCGGCCAGGTCCTGCTCCTTAGTTAGCAGGACTTAGCCAAAATTGAAGCAGTGAGTGGCCCCCTCCCAGGGCTTAAATGGACAGAGCATATATATGGCCCTGTTTTAAATGTAAAATGAAAAAATAAACATGGAAAAAAAAAGATGGTCAATGTGTAGGTAAGAATTATTGATGACTCTGATGAGGATATAATATTCATCTAGGCAGTCCCAAATACAAATGTCCTAGACCCAAATGACTCAGGGTACCCAGACTGAAGAGTATCTGCTGATTTTAATAAAACCGTTTAAAGCACAAGCTCGCCAAGTTTCCAAATCCTGGCTTCCTGTCTGCAATCCACAAACAAATCACATAAGACAAAGTAACCGTTGTAATGTGCTACGTGGTTATGGGTGTGAAACATCTTTCATCCTATACTATGGTATAGCAACAACAGGGCGATCCCTATACATGCTATTGAGCTTTAGGATTTTGGGTATCCAGACTGGGCAACCCATTAACTAAGGCAAAGCTTAACTATCACAAAAATAATTTTTTTTGGGGGAACGCTGACCCCTGCATAAATGGGTTTTAAGGTTGTATGTTTGTGAAGTAAGCACATTTTTATACCAATTCGTGTAACATACTGATTTAGGGGGGTTGGCCATATGGCAGCAATAGATATGGCAGTTTACACTTTAAAATAAGATTTTCTGCAGGTTTAAAGTGTATGTATAGCAATATTGTTTTAGTTTTGAGCAGAGTAGAGAAGGGTTAGAAACCTTGTCAAGTTTTTCTTCCTAGCAGACGCCATGTTCAAAACTTTCACATCAGCGCCACAGCACCTAGTTCATAGCCCAGAAACAATTCAACTGGCACCACTGCTGAAGGCAGACCCATTGTAGTCAGGGAGACTGAATATACCTATAGCAAAAAAACAGAAGGGAAGGCACCCTGTCTGGCTTCTGGTTTTCTATCAGTTTTTATTCCTGCCTGTGTCCCTGCTGGGAAGATTCACCCTTTCTTTGTTCTGGTGGTCATTGTCACCCTGGCAGGAAGTGGTGGGAAACTAGAACAGGAATAGAGGGGAAATCTTCCAATGGGGATTTCACTTTCTTGGAAGGGAATTCACCTAACTTTGGAGAGATTACCTCTCGTGAAGTGAAATCTCGGGACACAGACAGCAAAAAAATAAACTGGTGATTTTAAAATACTTCTCTACTTTTATCCAAATGTAAAAAGAAATGTTTTGGCTATACATACACTTTAATTTATAGTGGGATAACTTTGTATGGCCATTGTATATATGAATAGGGCTGCTGGGAGTTACTTACGTAAGTTTTACTGTTATTACCCTATTAAATAAAATTAAAGTAATCCATTATCTGCTATGAAGGTTTTCTTATTAATGTGTAAAAACAATGTTCCCATGGGGAGAGGGACAGAAAATTCAGAGAAAAGGAATGCGGTGGCAATATGTAGAGTTTTAATAATAGGATAGGTTTTATTTAGTGTCAGGTGCTGTACACAAAGACATATGCAACTGTTGCTGGCCTAATAAATTCCTTCACCACCCCCCTTCCCCCACATATTTTGGAGACTCCTATAGTAATATATCCCTACCAGCATTCCTAGATACCATCAACTTCTCTGAGCCATTCCGAAGCAAAGAGATAGAGGATGATTAGCTAAAGGATTGAAGAATGTTCAGACAATAAGTTGTTCACCTATTTGTACAGCGCTAAAGACCTTAATGAGGAACTGATGTGCTATGAAAACGTGTTTGATTGAAATAGACTAAAATAAAATCAACATCAAATTTTAGGTCTGTGCGTAAAGTGCATCAGTGAAACAATGAATAGAACAATTCAAACACACTTGTGTATAAGGTAATAATGTTACTAAAATTATAATATAAATGTTGCAATCAATATAAGATACACTGTGAAAAAGTCCAGTATATCAGACAGTGTTCTTTTCAAAAGCAAGCATTCCCTTGCTGTAAAAACTCTCCCGTGTTGTAAATAGTGAATTCCTCTGTGTAAGAGTGGACCCCCCAAAAGAAATGCACTCGCTAAAACAAACGGCAAAACCGCATATTCGTTAATCAGGTGAGGGGTTAATCCTCCGCAAGCAATGCTTGCTCCCCTCAGTGTTTGTTCCTGTTCTTTCAAAACCGATAGCCACACATCCCTTAATCAAGTGAATAGTTGTGTTAAGATTCACCATAATTATCCAGTCATGTGAAAAGCAAATCACTGTTTACCTATTTCATTTACACATGATTGAATAATTGAAGCAATTATTCACAGTTTGTGTGAACATTCGCAAATCCTTTAGTAAATCAGACTTGTTGTGTTTTACTCACATTATGGGCTCTTCCCAGTGCTTAATGAATGCATAAATCTGATGGCCACCCAAAACTGAAATATTGAGGCTGTGTTCTGGCCATACTAGGAAAAGTGGCTGGTTCCTTGCATTGCAGGTACCATAGGCTGCCTCCAGTTACCTTCCCCACTCTTCTGCTGTCCTAAATCGCCTTTGGAGGCTCAAGAAAAACACAGTTGGGGAAATGTATTAAAACTGGAGCAGACGGAATCTGGAGCAGGTGGCCATAGTAACCAATCAGCTCTTGTCTTCAGGTTGTTTAGCTAAGCTTTGAAAATGAAAGCGAGAAGTTAATTGGTTACTGTCGGTAACCGATTTTGTCACTCCAGTTTTGATAAAGTCCCCTCTGTGCTTCTGTACTTGCACATGATATTCCCCCTGCCTCCCACACACCTCTGGGTGCCTGAGAAGTAAATTGCCCAAACACTGTCACATGTGGGTAAGAGGGAACATGCTTTGAGGGAAGATGTTTGCATCAAGAGGTATTACGTAAGGTAAGTACTTAAAGCAGCATGGGGGGGCTGGGGGGGGGATCGTGCGTTTTATGTCACTTTAGGTGCCTGCTCCAGTCGCTGGTCTAGCAGCCTGCTAGAGAAATCTACTCCAGGATATCCATCCTCAATCCATCTTTTCTCCAATCTTCATTTGCACAAGTCCTGATAAAGAATGATCAGTAAAGCCCCTGAAACATGTTGGCTATCATTGTTACTCTTATGATGAGTAAAAATTAAAACCAGACTGATAACCATATGTCTGGTGTTCTCTTTATTCTACCTAACTTACTACTGTCATTCCAGGGACTTCCTCTTCAGATCCATCAGACCGAAGAGAGCAGCTTCTTAACTAAAACGTCAACAGATCTAAATATTTGTTTAAAAATCCTGATCCAGTACTACACCAATATACACTGAGTGGCCAGATTATTATGACCACCTGACGTTTGTAGGCAAATTAGCTATAATTAGCTGTAATTTTGCGCTGAAGTTGCTAGAGGGCCAGACCATTATAAATAGGGAAGCAGGTTGTTTGCCACGACAGTAGAAGTGATTTTTTTTCTGAAGATATGGGTAAACAACGCGATTTAACAGCCTTTGGACGTGGGATGATTGTTGGCGCTCGGAGCCATGGAGCGAGTATCAGCAAAACAGCAGAATTCGTTAAATGTTCAAGAGCAGCTGTTGTTAAAGTGTTTAAAGACTGGACTGTCAGCCGAAAATCTGAGTCTGAACATGTGAATTTTGCCCGTCAGCGACTAGTCAATGTTAGGGCAGAACGGAGACTGGCAAGACTGGTACAAGACAACAGAAGGGCAACAGTGCAGTGTCAGATTCCTTGCATCACCTTTCAACATCTCGTGGAGTCACGAGGCGGCCCAATGAAGTCATCTCATGGAGTCATCTCGTGGCCCAACGAAGTACTGATGGGGTGGTCCATAATAATCTGGCCACTCAGTGTATATCTTAATTTATGCCATAAAGAAATGAATATTTTTCAGACCGGTGGTGTGTCTAACCTCTGCAGATTTACCACTGCTTCCACCAGTCCTTCTCTGCAGCTTGCTGGCAGGGGATAGGCTTCGACTGCTTTAAGAAAACAAGCAGTAGAAATCTTTGTTTTGCTGTACCTGGGTTGTATTTATCTGACTGAAACTGAAAGTTCTCTTGGGCTTTTTCCTCTTTCCTTTCCACAAGGCTGTTGCTCCCAATGTTCCTGAGGAAGAACTGAGCTTGGAAGTTTTAGAGCCAGAACTGGTTATCACAGAGCTTTTCTCATCTATCCTGGCTGAAATACGGGACGAGGTAAGTGAAGTGAAGTGGTGCCCATACACTTGGAAAATGTCTTGCTTTTAGCCACTTCATGCTGCCCAACAAAAAACAAAATTGGGTGCAAAGCGATTGAGAGCACCTTTTATGAAGTCTCCCCAGTTTGGGCACAGAGTGCAATAAAAACCTTATGAGCTACTAACTAGGAAATTTTGTCTGCCGAAACATTTCGGCTGAAAATTGTACTTTCGGCAAAATGCCTAAAGTACCATTTTTTGCCCAAAAATGCGGTGCATCTCTTTCTATGTAGTTCTACTAATCTTGAATTTCTTTTCTCTGAATTCCTTGTATTCCCTGAAGTTGGTAAAATTATACACTGTGGGATTTGCTTGCGTAGTCATATTCCTAGTTGTAGTACTCACGATTGTCACAAGATGTCACACTGTATTGATATGTAATAGAACACATGTTTTATTTTATATCATCTATAAATATATTCTTTTTCTTTTTTTTTTAGGTTAATTTACCTTTGTCTACATTAAGTGAACCTCTTCTACTTGGCATTGCTCGTAACCATACAAGTGCAGGGCGACCAAGTGCAGAATTCTATGTAAGGTAGGCACATTGTGAACGTGTGTGATTTCAGCTAACTCCTAATGTTCACATTCAGCTGACATGAAATGTCACTTCTCAGGTGCAGTCTGACCTCAGAAGAGGTGAAGAATAGGTACTTACAGGGAGGACCAGAGGCGCAGGAATCTACCGATATTATTTTTCTAGACAGAGAGGTAAAGATTGACCACTTAATGCCACAATGCATAATGTTTGTTTTTAAAAGAACAAAAACACCCCGCATGTCAGTTTGCTAAAAATGTGTATTTATTTGCAGTATTTATAAAAATGTGTTATTGCAGCACCTACAACTGATGCATTGAAAAAAATGAGAAGAAAATAAAAGATGAGCACAAAATTTAAGCTGTTACTCATAGCAACTAATTTGATTGCTCCTTTTTTAGGGGAAATATTAAACTAGAATTCTTATTGGTTGTTATGGGCAAAGGTTTCAATTTTGTGCTCCTTTTGTCTTTTATGGTGCATGAGCCCAGTTTATATAAATTGAGTTTATTTTTATGCTATAACACTTAATATTACCAAGTTTACATTTTCAACAGTCCCCATAGAACCGATGAGAAAAACCCTTAGATGATATTGAAGGGAATTGATCAAAACTGGAGCAGACAAAATCTGGAGCAATTGTGCATGGCAGCCAAAAAAAAGATTCAGACAAAGACATATACCATAGGAAAACATTCAATACATTACAATACACAATAAACTACATCCACAAAATAAAAAGACAAAATAAACAAACTCAAACCAAGCCTTAAATATCTAAAAATGACAAATTTGTAATCTATCCTATCCCTCTGGTTTTTTTTTTAGTCTAACACTCCTGAGCTTGTAGCATGTTTTTATATTCACATAAATTTGGTACCGGACTAGGAACCTGGAACTTGGTTCTCTTTCTTCGCATCTCTGTGGAAGCATCTGCATATTTTGACACCATGTGTTGTAATATCTTCAAGGCAGCCTGCTCCCTGCAGATTAGTATCTCTGTCCTGATAATTAATAATTCTGGTCAGGATTGACTTTGGCATTCCCCTAGCTTGATGAGAGGTGGGTCGGAACCCCAAGAGCCCTCTCTACTGACTACATTTCACAGAGACAAGCCATCTCTCAGTGTACTCTGCTATATTATCCCCTTCAATTTTTTCCGGAGTTATAACAATTCTAAAGTTATTTTCACAAAGCCTATTTCTTTTTCGTTCATTTTTTCACTATTAGCATTTGCCTTTTGCTTGAGACGATGTATATTTTAAAATATAAGCCACATCCCCGTGTCACTTTTTTCTCTCTTCTAGAACCAGGATTCTCTCCCAAATTTCCTGTAAATCATGCCTTATAAAAGTTATTTAATTTTCATGGGAGAATTATATGCTGCCTCCTTCACATCCCCAAGGGCAAACCATTCCAGCTTGGGCTGCAACCACCTGCCTCTTTTTTGGATTTTTCTTGCTGTTTAGCATCCCCCCACCATCCTGTAGTAATCTTACAGGTGTACGCACCTCTTCCCTTAGCTTTTTTGGCATTTCTACTGGCTGTCCCCCAAGTGAGAAAAAACACCAAGATACAATACTGGGCTATGCTGGTACCAGTAGTGCTCCTATGCAGGATACTGGGTTGTGCTGGTACCGGTGGTGGGCCTTGCGGGATACTGAGCTTTGCTGGCACCGGTAATTCTCCAGTACAGGGTTCTGGGCTATGCTGGAACTAGTAGTGCTTCTGTGCTGGGTACTCGCACAAACCCCACAGTAGCCAGGGGCCGCAAAGCAGGATCAGTCAGAACCCTACGAGAATCAGGATGCCATATCACTTCCTCCCATTATGCTTTTAAGGACAGATTCTACCCCCCACCCCCTCGTCTTTTTTGCATTCATAATGTTTCTAAACAGCAAATTTCGTTTCTCTTTATAGAAAAATATGGTGCCAGCACTCTTGCATGTATTCTGCAGATTCACTACAATCTTGCATTCCAACTGAATTAAAGAATGTAAATCTCAAAACTAGATAATTGAATAATTTATATTCTGACATTTCAAGCCCCCAAGAAATATTTTTCAAGGTATGACATTGTGAAAGATTTCTTCCTTGTCCTAATATGAGGATAATTATTTTGCATGAATTTAATGTGCAGTTAAATATTTCTCCTCCCTTGTCATGTTTAGGATTGCTCTTGTATTTCATTCACCTATTGCTTATTAGTACATGTTGTATTACTAATTACAATGGAACTGGATTGCTAGATCCAGAGTGTAGCTTCAGCTTAACAGACATCATATGCAGATCAAAGCTCATTCCTTTGCTCTGCAGATGAGTAAACCCAAAAGTAACATCTCTAGAGTCCAGTATCTCATAAACACTGTGTCAGCAAGTCAATTTTTAGACAGCAGCATTTATAATAGCTGCTGTATTTAAACAGCAACTCCCAGGAGTTGCCAGCAAAGGGGGAGGGGCGGAAGTGGAGCAGAAGGACGGACGTACTACACATGCCCATTGTACCTTGGTGGCGTTTTTTTTGAGCAGGTGTAGCATGCATGCTGTCCTTCCATCTTCCAGTCTGAGTACTGCTGTACATAGGGGGTATTACAGAGGGTGATATAAGGTTATATATATATATATTTACTGAAAATTTAACTATATTAACTGGGGGGGGTTTCCACCACTGTGTGGAGTGCAGCTTTAAATCTTAATATTATGTTTCTTCCCTGAATGTTAATGGAAGTTTTACTAGCAGAGAGCACTTTATGTGAAAATGTTGTAAGTCGGTTATAATCGAACTCGTTTGTACTGATGGAGCTAGGTAGTATTCATTTGTGATTCATTTACAGGATCTGCTGACCATTGAAAGCTCAGAAATGTGGAAGGAGCTGTGTCCTTCAGCGAAGGGTTGTATGAAACTTTATCTCTTAGTACGAGAGCAACAATCCTGAGGTGAATTGGAGACAACATAAGAAGTTTGAAGTAGAGAAGAACTAATCATTTTACTCAGTAGCATTCGTAGTAATTCATAATAAAGTCTTCCATGTGTCATGATCAAGCACCTTGTAAATAAATCATGTAGCTTTTACTTTTGCGTAGCTTTTACTTAATGAATATTGTTGTTTTTTAATAAAGAGGTTTTTAACTGTGAGGAATGAGTTTATTTTGATCACAGTCTCTGTCTACTAGGGATCCACTACCTTTTTGCTCAGGCATTGAGAACAGACGCTTTCTCTCTGCTCTGAGAAAAGAAAACCAATTCTTACTTCTTGCTGCTTTTTTCAAGATATTTTCTCATCTAGCAAGAGTTGCTGCCAAGCCACTGGGACTCACCCTGCAGCACTCTAGATCGACTGATTCTTGGCATAACCTTGAAGGCTGTACCCAGACCCTGCTGTGAAGCAGGGCCGGCCTGAAATGTGTCCTCTGTGCACTGGACTGTGCTGTAAGCTCTCTCCAAGACACACTTGGTGTAGTGTGTATGTTAGACGCAGAGTGCTTTACAGGTCCAGGATTGTGGTGCACCCATTTGATGGAACCCTGGCCCTGAAGGCTCCTTAGGTAGTATGCCCACTGGAAAGGCAAAGACTGCTTAGATATGACATGTCCCCTTGGATTCTGCCTGTAATCTCCATTCTCCTGGTGGGTGATGCAGGGCTTACCAAGAGCAGCAGTTGTATGGTATTGCCAATTTATAATCCACTAACAGTTCTGGGATGGTTTGCTGTGTTTCTCAAAGACATGACACTGATAGACTGTCTCAGCACACCTCAGAGTGCTTTCGGGGGTTGGAGCCTTCATATGAATTCTCGGGTAATAGCTCAAAGTTTATTAAAAAAAAAACAATCTCTGCCTTGTTGGACTCAGAATGCAGGGGCCACAAGCGTGCATCCACACCCTCTCCTCCAGAGTCCATCCCTGATTTACCTGGTACAGGAGAATTCTTAGTCTACTGACACAACTCTGAAACCTAAGGATATAGTTGTTGTCTTTATTGACGTAGTGCACATGTGTCTAGACATAGAACAGTCTGCATTGGCCATACCTAAAGTTACCAGTCTGGGCTCCCTTAATAGTGCCCAGTCTGTTAAAACATTTACTGTAGACTCACTATTGCAATCTGTTTTGTCTCCTTTTGGTACACATGCAGAGGGCCCTTTGGCTCAAATGCTGGTCTGCAGAGCAGCAGTTCCAAAAAATCCTACTGATGATGCTTAAGGGGCAACACCTGTTTGGTATACTCCTAAACACCTCCTTTTTTAGGATGTCACAAGGGAAACGAGCACCCTTTTACCCTAGTAAAAGAAGCCTACGCCTCAATCTGGAAAACCTTCTACCTCAAAATCAAAAGAGTTCATCTCATTTCTCCCTGACCTTCAGCCTGAGAATCCGTTCTACCAGAAGTCCTGGATTTCCAAGTCCTTCAATCTGGTGAGTAAGTCCTCCTGGCTGTGAGGGTACGCCCCCACTTGTCAGAGTGGGGGATTTCTATTTGCCTTTGCGACCACCTGGTTCCAGGACATTTCAGGCGTTTGGGTCCAAAATGTGGTTTCCAGGTGCTACAAGCTGAAATTGATTTCTACATGCATGTCCACGTCCTTCCAGCACATCCACACTTTCTATGTTTTGCAGTGGGCGCTCAGCATTACTAATTAATTGCCCTTCCCTTTGGTTTATCGTCTGCATCTCGGGTCTTTGTCAAGGTGCTAGCCACTATGCTTGCTCTGGTTTGCTCTCGGAGCATCCCCATAGTCAGATATTTGGATGACCTCCCACTGAGGGAACAGTAGGCACTCTCTCTCTCTCTCTCTCAATGTCCAACAGACTGAAAATCCTATAGAAGTTCAGGTAGATCCTTTTTTCCCCAAAGATTGTTTCCCCCCTTCCACTTTACAGGGACATTGTTCTCCCATCTTTATGTCCTGTTCCACGACATTCCATGGAAATTTCCATCCACTGTCTAGCTGTAGTATGTGCTGTCTGAGTGTATCTCTCAACTACAATTTCTTGTCAGACAAACACACTTTGTCATTCCTGAGGGTCCCCTTAGTGAACAACCTGCTTCTCGGTCCACTATCTCCAGATGGTTTTGACAGCATATCATTCAAGCCTACAGTCTTAAGAACAAGGATTCACCCTCTCCTATCAAAGCGCACTCCACCAGATAAGATACATCTGATGCCAGCTTTGGTTGTTAGGTTCTTCAGCCGGCTGTGAGCTGTATTGAACCCCTTATGTTGCCATGTTGTTCCCGTTGGCTTATTAGTGTGTTGATTGTTGTGTTGCCCACCACTCAGTTGGTCTGCTTTTGGATGCCCCTATGTACCTGAATTTCATTCGTTCTTTAAATGTACATTTAGGAAAATTTAAAAATGTTCACTTACCGTAAAATCCTTTTCTTGAACTATAGTATAATGCACTATAATCTTTAATTATAATATTATAATTTATAATCCACTCCTACTATTGCTTGCTATAAAACCGAGCCATGATGGGAATTAAAGAATTACACTAGGCTGTCATTACAGCTTTGTTTGCCTGTATCCAATCTCTGGAAGATGGCAGCATAACCCTATGTAGCAGGATTACATCCTGTGTCCCTTAATGTACTCAAGAAAATTATTTTGCAGTAAGTCAAAAATCATCTTTTAGTTTGGCAATAAACGGTGTGTTATAAACCCCTTTATGCCAGTCTTTTAAATTAAATACTGCTTTCATTTATTAATTGTTGTTGCATCTCAGTGCTGCCGATCTCCTTCACCCATTTTTTGTATACATACAAGCACGCCATCTTTGACTGCATGGCATTTCTCAGGGCAGGCTTTCTGATAGTGATAGATGAAATTACTGCCTGTAGTCATCGTCAGAAGCCCATGCGGCAACACAGGAGCACAACTGAGAGACAGGGAGACAGCATTGTCACTCTATAACAGAAAGCACCTGAACAAAGACCTTCATACCAGGATCAACATAGTTTAATAAAAGCTGCAGGTTTAATCATTTTAAAAATTAGTTATTGGGCTTATGTATACTTAAACTGTTGTCTCTGAGTCACTGGATTCATTCTGTCAACATCTGCAGTTAGTGAGACCAAAAGACTACATCAGGCCATAGACTTCAGATGACGGCAAGTCCTGCAGGCATGATCCAACAATCGGACTATGCTTATTTTATGGCAAGTGCTAGCGTACGCATGCACATTTAGGTAGCAGACAGTAGTTGCCCCCTTTCCCGTACAAGCTTATCCCCAGGGTGACAATAAAATTGAGACAAGAACTTCAAACATGTGTGATGGATCACCTTCTCCGAAGAGAGTGATCAGCCAATGTCTTCTGCTTGCTAGACAGAGGAAGTAAGATGGGAATCCAGATCAAGTCATATTTATAGCCAGCTTTAGGGGAAGTCTGCTCTAGTCACAGTTTTACTAAAGACAAGTGAATAATAACTAGATCAGACAGTTGTATGCAAGGAGTCAGGCAACGCTGTTCCCCTCGAATACAAGATCTGAGTTCTAAAAAGAATAATGATAATGTGTCAATTTCCTGCCTATTCCAAGTGATCTTCCAGCCATGCTGGCTAACTGAAAAGCAACAAAAATTGCTGTCATGTTTTATATTTGTTTTTTTCCCCCCAAATTTTTATACAGGTATTACAGCAAAGCATATTTACAAAACAGTTTACAGAAGCCAAAACATTTGAATATAAAGTGATAGCGATCTAGAAATGGAAGGATGTAGTGACTACATGCATGAGGAAATAAGTACTGCGTTCATCAATCTTCACATAAAAAATGCTAACAGTAAAAATGGTTAAAAAATGTTGCGTTAGACTCGCCTTTTAACACACCAATATCTGATGTAAGGTGTTGGTACAGTTTATAATGATGGCCATATAGAGTGGTTAGTTTCTTTCAGCCATTGCAGTAAAATTAAGAACATTTGGAAACACGAGTCTGGATTAGGATACCACCATTAGGCGGAGTATAATGTAAAGTAAACTGTTTTAGTACATACACCTATAGTGTACTAGTGTGCGCATTGTATTAAGTTCTTAGACAAGTGGCAGATAGGTGGTTTTCCAACAAAGAGGTTAGTGTAAGTCCTCAGGGGCAGGGCCCTCCTTACCATCTTGTCTTGAATTGTATTGTGATTGTAATGTCTTCCTTATATTGTGAAGCGCTACGCAAACTGTTGGCGCTATATAAATCCTGTATAATAATAGTGTAAAGCTGGGTATACACAGAATTTTGTACAAAAAATCTTGTCTAAACATTCAATAACAATTTCATAGATCTGATGAATGTTGTTTGAAATTTTGTTTGGTTTTAACATTCAATTTGTTAAATCAATTATATTTTCTGAATGAAAACCACATTCACTGTTAGAATTTCATTTATTCGAGAAAAAATGCTGTTCCTTTGACTTTGGTGGCACTATAACCCTATGGTAAGAGATTTCAGATCTCCACCGTGTCCTTCAAGAAATGCAGAGAAAAGGATTTTACGGTGAGTACAATTGTTATCCTTATCTCAGGGGAACAATAGACTTTGGCCAAGAGAATGAGTCCTAGCCGATCATCTTTCCCCTCGGATTCATGGGTTTTGAGGTCCAACGGCACCAGAGCACAGCTGCTGGGAACCATCCCTGAAAGTAATATACCCAAAACAATGACACCAACTCTACAAACATTTTGGTAGATGTCAGTTTTTTTTGTTTTTTTTTATTTTCTTTATTTATAAAAGAGGAAACACACAGAACATGGCATTTCATATAAAACTTCAAACAACATTAGGTATTCTGGCATAGCGTAGACCAATATTCAGCCAGGTCAGATCAATTCTGGATTCACTCAACAATCAGACCATAAAGGTGCCCATACACTACGATTATCGTACGAGAATCGCGGGAAATCCCGCGATCGAACGATAATCGCAAAGCGTATGGAAGGCGTGCGACCGTTTCTACTGTGCGGTCGCACGTCTTCCGTCGAACAAGCAGGCTTGAAAAC